CAATCCGAGCAACGACATTGAAGTCTTTTTCAACGATAAAAATGATGGCTACAACATGGTGTACCTACCAGAAACATTCTTCTTTGGATCGAATCGTTACAGAACTGCTTACGTCAGTCTAGATCATTTCATTTATTTTTGCAATATTTTTTACGCATTTTTATTTTGTAAAAATTTCAATCAACCCAAAATTTCAAAAATTAATATCAATTAACAGATCAACGTTAATGGCTACGTGACATTCGATCAAGCTTACGTATCCGTCAACCCAAAAAAACTGTCAGAAATATCAAACGTAGCTATAGTGGCTCCGTTTTGGGCAGACATAGATTTAAACGATTTTTGGAATGGAAATATAAAAGGACAAAACGAAGGAAAAGTTTTCTACAAGTGCATCTCTAGGAGAACTTATTTTTCGGCGGTATCCTCAAGTGACGATAGACAAGTGTATGAGAGCGTCCGGGGGTCCGTGTTGAACAGCATTGATAACACTGGAAACTTCAATCCAACATCGGTTTGTAAGTTCACCTGGTCCAATGTTAGTCCCTATCCATTTTCACCGGACACTCAATCAGAGGTTGGGTCTTTTTCTCATATTCAATCACATTCAGACATGAGTAATTTTAAAAAATTATTTTGATGATATTTTTCATTCTAACAGCAAGCAACCTTTCAACTAGTGTTAACCACAGATGCCCGAAATCGAAGGAGCTACATGATATTTTCTTACGAGAAAATCAATTGGAATGCGTCGAGAGCGAACTCCCAGGGCTACAGAATGTCGGACTACAACGTTTTCTATTCTCCATCTCAATACGTGTACACCTTCTACACGTCTGGTACAGCTTCTGCTATCAATCTACCGAAACTAAAAGGCCCTAAAGGTATGTTGATTAAAAGGAATAATGCTGTTTTTGCCCTTCAAAAAATACTTGATTTTCGAAAGATTATTTTTCACTGTAATGGATTGATTTTAAAAACTTGTAGGGCATGACCACGCAAATGCATTAAATATATTTGTATGGGTATAGATTGCGGTTTGAATCAGAGCTAATTCAAAAACTACGTTGTTTTACAAATAAAAATTAAATTTGTTTGTCAGGTTCGCCAGGTGTTTGGTTTTTCCAAGGTTCATTCAACCAGTTTGAAGTTTTCAACTCAGCAGAGTATCAGTGCTACGTGTGGTACGAGCAACAGTTAGACTTGAATTTTCTGACGTACCACAGTAACCTGCCTGACTGTCCCTGCACTCTCTGGCAGGCGATGATGGATCCGAGGTTCACCCCGTACTACTCTGAATATTTTTGGAGCCCTATCTGCTACACAACTACTTTTCCAGCATACGGAACCGCAACGAGGGTTAGTGGAAAACAATATTAAATTCGTTCTTGAAAATTTATTTGATAGATTTTTATTTAAGTTTTGTGACGTTATTATTAATATTTATGTAAGTTTTGTAAGAATCATATTACATCAGACTCATCTTAACTTTCACCAAAGAAATGCTGTTACGACAACTACTTTTGGCGGTGGAGCTGGTGGTGGAGCTGGTGGACGCCATGGTTTTCATGGTCATCATTCTCATGGCTGTGGACTTTCAACGGTTACTATTCCAGCAACATGCTTCTCTACCATCCAAATTATTATCCTGGCCTCCACTGGTCAAACGACGTCCTACCTAAGAGGTGGTGCTGCCTGGAGTCAAACAATTGTGACCTCTACTACGAGGTCAGACCTCAGTCTTACTGCTGGAACTATAGGATGCCTTTTTGGGGTTGGCGGGCTTTCTTAAATTATTTTATTTTGTTAAAAATGCACTTTAATAAAAAGTTAGTGTTTGTCGGTAATGTTTTTTGCTTCGCTGTATTAAATATTGTTCACCATTTTGCAGGCTTCATGTTCGGCGATCCACACATCACCACCCTGGATGGAGTCAGCTACATATTCAACGGCTTGGGCGAGTTCTGGATGATCTACTCCAAAGTTTTCCACATGCAAGCGAGAACTGCCCGGTACAAAACTGGAAGTGATCTGATAAATGCCACAATTTTTACCAGGTTTGCGTTTCAAGACTTCACAGAAACTTCTGTTGCGCAAGTTCCAAACACGTCTGTTATTTTGGCCGATGGATGAGATGGGTATGTCCATTTTATTAAAAACATTTTTTCGGTTTGGAAGCGGTTATAATTTTTTTATTTTTCGTTCGGAGTTAACTGTTAATTGTCAATTCATTTTATCTCTTCAATGCATTTCAATTCTTGAAGGATTAGTATTGAAACGTGACTCATCTGACTCGGATGATTTAACATCATGGTTTCAAAAAGCGCCAGACAACAACTCCACCACAAATGATGACCTCAAAAGCATCAGCCTTGTGAAAAACTACACGGATCTCATTATCAGCTTCCCTTCAGGCTGTAGGATTCACAAATTTTTGTTATTCAATTGATAATATTCAACTGAAGGTACCAAAAATTGAACAATGATAATTACGATTTAAAAATTATTATCTTTTAAAAATTGTTAATGTTTTTTTAAACATTTTTAAAGTTTACAATTGGCATTTATTTTTTGTAAATATTAACAGGCATCAAAGTTAAAGTTTCAGTAGTTGAGAAAGCTTTGTTGGCAAGTTTAACCGTTCCAGACGACATGAAGAGTAAGGGTTTCAACGGTCTGTATGGCCAGTTTGATGGCAACCCAACAAATGATTTCAAATTTCCAAACGATTCAGTTATTAGTATCAACTCGACAGAAAGACAGTTGTTTGATTTTGGCCAAAGTTGTGAGTTTTCCGTGGTTTCGAATTAATTTATAAAACTTATGAAAACCATGTAAGGCCATTATTATCTATACTACTAATGCTTATACTTTGTTAATTTTGTTCACCAGGGGCCGTCAAATCTATCTCTGATTCGTGGTTTTGGTACAACAGCAGTAGGAATGAATCATTCAGCTCCTACCAGCAAACAAATTTCGTTCCGTTATTCTCAGACGAGTCCTCATTCCAGTCTCCAGTGAGTAGGGCAGAAGCTGAGAAATTCTGTACAAATGACGGTTTGTATTTGATTTGTTTTAATTTATTAAATCTTGTTCTTTTCTTGAGTGAATGATTATAAACTAACTCTGGATTATTTTTGTTCTGACAACAGGGAAGGTAGATCCATCCTGCGTCTTTGATTATCGCGTTACGGGAAGCAAATCATTTGCCAACGGCACTCACGAAACCGTTCAAACGAAGACAAGCCTTCTACAAGCCGTGCAAGGTAGGTTAGGACAGTCAGTTATGGTGAGATGGTGAGGTGTCCGTGAAGAGAGAGATGGCTCGTTTTCCAACGTACAATGCACATTACTTAAACTAAAACAACTGCTAATTGTACTTCAAAAATATTTGCATTAAACTTGAAACCAACGACAGAAAACAAGGTCGGACAACTCGTTATTAATACGGCACTTTATTATTTTTCCGCCAACACAACAACCACCATCCGTGTGAATGTGACCGGCCTATCGTCCAGCAGTACAATGAGCATGGATCCTCTCAATCAGACGGTGTTTCCTAAAGCATCGATCGCCTGCGATGACTCTTCCAAACAGCCATGCCAGTACTGGACCTTCACCTGGACACCTCAGTCGAGGGACCTGAAACCGTTCAACTTAACGTCAGTTAATGTTTTTTCAACTTGCGGTAAATGCAGAAAATTCAAAGTTTATTCACACACATTAACAGATTCTCTGGAAATTCTAATGACACCACAATTAAGCCTGTTACAGTGAACGCACTGGCATGCGACTGCAACGGCTTGGGAGATTGCATGTGGGAGAACATTATTAACACCGCGAATTCATCAAACAGCAGCAGCAGCAGCAGCAACGTCACTGGTCTCAACGTTTACCAGGAGGTTGCGTGCAATTGTAAAAACCTCGTAGCAACTGGTTCGTGTTAATGAACTGTTTATTTATCGTTCGTTGTTTTTGTGTTATTATCGGTTCACTGGCAAGTTAGAGTTGTAACAACTTTGTAACAAATTTGAAAGGTCCAAAATGTGAGAACACAATCGATTATTGTTTTACAAATCCATGCGGTTACAATCGGACTTGTGCCTCACATAATAGCTCCAAACTTCTTCAACTAATGAGCCAAATAGAGGAATCATCAACGAATGAACCATTTATCGGCTACACGTGCAGTGACTGTCCACATGGATACAGCAAGGATAGCATGGAGAGATGCGTGGGTAGGTCACTGCTGGGTCATTCACATTTATTTATTTAGTTACATTTGCCTGTGTGATCTTATTAGAGATTAACACTTTAATTAAATTTCATTTCTTAAATTATGCATGGTTATTTTGATATTCAACTCATACTCGCGGTATGATAAAATGAATGAAATTTTTGCAACACAAACCCACATAGGGTGTAAAACATGACAATTTTTCGTTGGTTTCATAGAAAAAAATATAATTCATATTTGACAATTAATTCAAAAATTTAATTTTAAAAATTTAAAAAAAAACTGCAGACATTGACGAATGTAAAAACGCATCAGCAAACAACTGCACAAGTCCAGAAGAAAAGTGCGTGAACACACCGGGATCTTTCAGATGTGATTGCAATTCGGGTTACACTCGCGTCGACACTCAGACGAAATGCGTTGGTAGGTAGTTGGGGGATTTTTTCCACAAACTTTTCAATTTTTTTGGTTCATGCTAATTAATTTATTTCTACTGAAAATATTAATCTATATTACAAATATAAAAATATTAAACCCGTTACCAAAACGAAAGTACTCACATTACCAGAAACAACATTACCAATTACAAATGTAACAATGTAAATAGTAAGATCCGTGACAGAATAGTATTAAAATCGAAATGACTACAAATGACCAGACAAAGATGAATGTAGAACGGTGTTGGATAACAACTGCGATCAAATATGCAACAACACGGTTGGATCCTTTTTCTGCTCCTGCTATCCTGGATACAAAAGTGACAACACCACTCAGAGTTGCACTAAGACTGGTGTGTAAGAATTATTAATTATGACTATTAGTAATTATTGTAATAATTATTAATTATAGTTATTAATAATTATTGTAATTATTATAACATTAAGTATTTTTACTATTTAACCAGGTAACTGCACGGTAAAAGATGGCTGTCATTATTGTTACGATGGTGAGAATTGTGCCTGCCGGATGGGTTATGAAGTTCATGATGGCGTTTGTATCGGTACGTCTGGCTGTTCTTACTTTTAAATACTGTCGTTAATATTGTTTTCACGTCTCTTCTTCCATCTTCTCCTTCTTAATATTTTTTTCTTTATTCTTTTATTATTATTATTAACACTGGTCCAGTACTTGCTACCAAATTTACTATTGGTACTACCTCCAAAAAAAATGGAAAAATGACACCAACAAAAATAAATAATTACTACTACTACTACCACTACTACTACCATTACTACTACCACCACTACTACTATTACTACTACTATTAGTACTACTACTACTACTACTAATAATAATAATAATTTTGGTGCCAATCCTAAAGATATAGACGAATGCAACCAGACATCACCGTGTGATTCCACATCATCCAACTGCATCAACATGAATGGAACGTACGAGTGTGTGTGCAAGGATGGCTACCAGAAAGACAAATCCACTGGAATCTGTCTTGGTGTGTGTGTATGTTTGTGTATATATATGTGTGTGGGTGTGTTTGTATATATGTGTGTGTAGATGGATGTATATATATGTGTTGGCGATTGTGCGTGTGGAGATGTTTACTTGTGTAGGTGTTGTATGAATTCTACCGAATTTTTGGCATTAACCAACTTAAGTTTGTTGTTTGTATGTGTATGTATGTTTACGTGCATGTATTCGATTGATATGCATGCAATGCATAAATGTTCAAGATGTGAATTTGTTTGTTTGCTTAAGCGTGCTTGCGAGTAAGTAATTAAGCCACGTAGAAGCACGCACCAACTCTCACAAAACGCCAACAACATCATCCGTTCCAACGTTCTCTTTATAACAATATTATATTACGTAACTTTAATTTCTAATAGGATTTAACTTTTAACCAGCCTGCCAGGATGGAATGTACGGTAAAAATTGTTCGAAACTCTGCCAGTGCTCCCCTGCCATGTGTAACAAAACAACTGGATGTCAGTCGCCGTGTGAGAACAGCGGATTCACAGGGGCAGACTGCGATGAGAATGTCAACGAATGCCAGATCAATGGTATCTGTGGAGCTGCTAATTGTAACGACACCCATGGATCTTACTACTGCTACTGTCCGCAGTGGTTTCAGCTGATGGGATCCAATACAAACATCAAATGCTCCGGTCAGTCTTTCAGTGCTTTCATCATTCGATTGAACATTTTGCTGCAATTTAAATGAGATCATTATTTAAAATTAAAATTTTAATCAATTAACAAATTATTCCAAGCCTCTCAACTAACTAGTTGACCAGCCAACCAGCCAGCCAACCCACATAACACTTTCTTCGCACAAACAGTCATAGATGCCTGCCAATACAACGTGACCGACGGTGGCACTCAACTAGTGAACGGAACCTGCGTGAACAATGGTGTATGTAAGAATGGAACGAACTTAGCGGCTCCTGGCACGTTCGCATGTGAGTGTGCGCCAGGTTTTGACGGAAAGTTTTGCGAACACGGTAAGTTCTGGACTTGGGTATAATTTTATTTTATTTCATTTCATTTTATTAATTGCATTTCAAATGCGTTGTTATGATTTATTAACGTCCGATGTAAAATTTTTACTGATACGTTTGATCTCTTTAAACCTATGGATTCATAATTTTCTGAATACACGAGTACCAGCTTCGCCACTCAAATGACAAAATTTTGCAGACATAGACGAATGTTTGAGCAACAACTGCGACCTCAAAACACAACACTGCGTCGACCAGATCAACGGTTTCTACTGTGCCTGCAATCCTGGCGTGTCTGGGCCTGGATGCAACTTTTTTGGTACTGTTGTATTTTATTTAGTTGTTATTTTTCATCTAATTGTAACTTCTCTCTACTTTCTGGGTACCGTTTTTACATCTAGATGTAGATAGATATTTTTACATAAAAGTACTTTTGAGTAAGTCTGTCGTCACCTACTTTTCAAACTATATATAAAACCAAAAGTAAAAATTTTTAACTGAGAGATTGTTAAAAAAAAGTTAAATCACGAAATAGCACAAAGCAACGCAGATAACTCAACGACCGCAGCGTCATCAGCCGCAACTACAACTCCTCCATTCAGTACTTCAAAAGGAACGAACGCCAACACAACGCAGCCGACCACAGCCCGTTAGCTAATTATAAAATGTTTAAGTTCTATATTAGATGTGCTCATCATTGTATTTCTCGTTCTGAAATATGTGCTATTATAGTTAACGACGATAATATTTTAATTTATTTTTAAATCACGAAATATTTTTTCCTGTTTTTGTAAGTTTTTAAAAAATTATTTACGTTATTTGGTATAAATGATTTTCATTAAATGCAGCTTCGGTGGTGACTACAGCTGCTACAAACGACACGCTGGCTGAAGGTCGGTGGCTCACTTTCATTTTTCTCATCACTCAGTGTTATACCGTTAAATTTGTTCATCACTTATCGTTTGCAATGTTGTTGCCACATTTCCTGTCTATACAGTAATAATCTTTTTACGAATTTGCTAGAATTCGTTAGTTTGTCAGTTTTAATATTATTTAATTTTAATAAATTCTTGACAATTTAATTTAAAAAATTGTTAAATAAGTTTAAATTCACATTCACAGTACAATTTTTTCACATGAATATTATATTTTATTATTATTTATATATGTTATTAATTATTTTTAGTAAAAAAAAAACAAAAAAAAAATAAATTCCATAAAAATCTAACACAAAAACACAAACGAACGTAGCAGCTGCAAAAGTGACCGCAATCGTCTTCCCTGTGGTCTTCACGACGATGACAGTCGCTTCAGTGGCCATCATTTTTGGTCCTAACTTCATTCAGTGGATTGTAGCGTTGAGAGTACCAGTTTAAATGTATCATTGTGAGGCTGGAGTATGCCATATTAGTAGATCTTTGGTAAAGCAGTATAATATTAACATTATTATTTTGGTTACTTGTTCACCCATTCGTTTATTCATACATTTATTAATTTATTTAATAATTCATTCGTTCGTTCGCTTGTTCGTTAGTTCGTTCGTTCGTTTGATCGTTCGTTCGTTCGTTCGTCCATTCATTCATATGTGACATTATATTATACTCGATATAAATAAAACTAATTAGAACATAGGTTGGATGGTTTAACTTTTAAAATAAAATCGAAACATCAGATATTTTTGTGTAATGGAACCTGAGATTTATTTATTCCTTTTAGAGAATATACCAATTTTTCGCTAATTTTTTTAATTAATTTTATTTTACAATAGTAATAATAATAACAATAGTGGCAACAGCAATAATAATAACAATAATGTGATATCAACAATTTGTGATCTTATTAAATTTTTCAAGACATTTAGTCTAAATTTTGAAAAAATTGTTTAATTTAATAATTTATTTTTCGTTAATTTTTTTTCAAATTCCTAATATAGTTTTTTACTTATTTTAATTGCTTGTATTCTTGATTAACTCCTTTATTTTTCTCTCTTTCTGCCTCTCTCTGTCTCCCTTTGTCTTTCTCTATCTATCTCTACATCTTTAATTGACAACATTGTTAATATGATTTTCATTAACATTTTTTATTAATATTTCGCTAATTATTTATTTTCATAGAGTTATAATAATAATAGTGGAAAATAGTTTTTTATTGGTTTGTTTGAGGAGAATAGGATATGTTCCGCAAAAATATTTCAGCCAAATGGGATTTGATCTTTCAAATTTCGTCAAAGAAGAGCAGATAAATTTTATCCAATAGTTGATAAATACCATTCAAATAAGCTGAATTCAGACGTGATGGCTTAATGATTAAGGTTGTCTTGTGCTTTATCGCTGTGTATATTTTTTTGATTACTTTGAAGAACCTAGGAAAGAGTGTGTCAGATCTTAAACCTTTAACCATTCATTCAAGAAAATTAATCGATCCTTTTCTTCCCGCCTCTATTTTTTCTCTTCTCCCTCCCTCTCTCTCTCTCTCTCTCTCTCTCTCTCTCTCTCTCTCTCTCTCTATCTCTCTCTGACAAAATTTTTGTTGGAAACCAATTTCAAATAAAATGAATAATAAAAATATTATTAAAAATAATGATAAAAATATATTCAATTATTAATGATAATTTTTTAAATAATTCATCATTATTATTATTATTACTCAACTTTTATTAGCCCTTCTCATAGACATTGTATGGTAAATTAACTGAGTGATAGATAAATAACGATGTGTGATGTGCAGGTTTGTGATTACTATTCGTTTGTTCATGTTAAATGAAACGTGTATGTTCCTATATGAATAAATGAGTGAGTGAGTGAGTGAGTGAGTGAGTGAGTGAGTGAGTGAGTGAGTGAGTGAGTGAGTTCATTTACTCTTCTTCTCTTTTCTTATCAATTTATCTCTTTATCTTTGATTCCTCTCTTTTTTCTATCTCTCCCTTTCTCTCCTCTCTCTTTTCTTTCACTGTATGTTTTGCTTTTTATTTTTCTTCTTTTCTCTTTCTCCGTCTTTCTCTTTCGGTCCCTTTTTCTTCGTTTTTATCTATCTTTGTCTTTGTTTCTCTTCCACTCTCTCTTTTTCTCTTTCTTTTTCTCTCTCTCACTCTCTCTCCTTTCCTCCTTTTCTCTCCGCACGTTAGTGTGAACGTGTAGGAGACCATAAAGAAAATGAATCACATAATTACATGCTGGCAACAAATATCACTCGTCGAAATTTATGTCACATCCATTCTCGTTAATTAATTTGGCCAATCCTTCCTTCGTTTATTTATTCTTTTATTCGCTCGTTCTTTCGTTCGTTCGTTCATGCAATTATTTCATTTTCATCAACAGTGATTATATATATATATATATATATATATATATATATATATATATATATATATAAATATTTATATTTTTTTTGTTGTGAGTCAGATCAGAATAGAACTCTGGCAGAAAACTACTCCACAAATATCGCTGTGTGTGTGGTGTGCGTGTGTGTCTGTACGTGTGTGTGTTGTGTGTGTGTGTTGTGTGTGTGTGTGTGTGCGTATGTGTCTGTATGTGTGTGTCGTGCTTAAAAATTTAATTGCTTCGTTGGCATCGTTGCAAGTATTTGTTGAATTCTCTCTCTCTTTTTCTCTCTTTCTCTCTCTCTCTCTCTCTCTGATTTTTTTCTTTTATTTTCTTTCACTCTCTCTCTCTTTTTCTCTCTCTCTTTCTGTATATATAAATATATATTATTTTCTTGAAAGTTCGTTCATTTCCTATTGAGTTGTTGACATTTTGGTAACAATTTGTTATTGTTTGTGTCTATTCAAGTGCGTTTTGTTCAGTAGTATGTTTATATAGTTTTACGTTTGTGTTTAATTTTTTGTGTATATGTATCTTTGTATGTATTTATGTATGTATGTATGTATGTGCGAGCCCTTGGTTAAAAACAATAGCCATAAAAACTATCATTTCGCCCCTGCTCAACAGATAATATTAGTGTACAGGGTCTCGCACAGAAGGGCACTTAGCAATGTTCTCTAAAATACAAAATGAATTAAACTTTTGTAACAACAACGATATATTTTGCTTTATATAAATTTTATCATTGGGATCACCAGATTTTTCAACTATTTTAGTAGCAATGTTATCAAAAAATAATTGTGTCTGTTTATCCACTGGGCCAAATGTCTCCACACAGATCGGAACAAAAACTCTCGTATTGTCGTTTAAATCTTTATACTTAGTATTTTTGAAATCAGCAGCCTTCACCACGGCGGAACCTTGCTCCATAGCCGTGTAATTGATGTACCTTTCGGCTAACGTGTGAGGGAACGTCACATCCCATGATAAACAACAGCCTTGGGACCACGGTACCAGGGTGTAACCATCTGGCCTGAAGTTGCTTTCAGATAGTAGGCCTGCTGGTTCCTTAACGGCGGGTATATCTGCTTTCTGGAATAATTTGCATATATAATCATTCATGGCAGAGTGTCTTGCTTGTCTTCCTGAACCAAGCCTACACGATAAACCATGGTGACCCAACTGAGAAACATCCGCCCCACACAAGCATCTGTAACCTGACACCACCGGCAACCCAAGTCTCAAGCATAAACTCACTCTAATAGAACCATTGTCGAGCCTTATACCACAAGCTGTACTGGGAATGGCCCTTAGCCAAGCAGACCCCAATTCACTTCTGACGGCCATCAACCTGGCCTTATCTGAGGGAGAGTCATTTAATTTCTCCAGTTTCGATTTTGAAACATTCAAAGATGGTTCATTCCATTTCTTCTGCGAACACACATTTATGTCCATTATATCTCCGTAAACCGTGCACCAACGCCGAAATGTTTCAAGTCTCAAATCATCCTGGTATGCTACATCCATTGGTAATATTTTATCCTGGAGGGCTGCCGTGGCCGCGGCCGATGACAAAAATGCTGACGGTGCCAACTCGGCAACGACACCCAAACCCAGTCCACCCATATTTACCGGCAATATAGCCTGCTTCCAACCTTTATCATCAAAAAACACATTAAATATCTTCTGAAAACCCATGCGTAGTTCGTTGTTGAATTCATCTGACTTTTGTTGAGACGGGCCAAGAGATGTACGTAAAAAGTATGACAGCCTTGGAATGAATGCTGCCTGCGTCAACAGGACAAGGGCGTCATGCTTGCCAATCTCCGTCATCATTGACATAATATGTTTAAAATCCTCCAGCTTTTTAGCCCAAAAATTATCATGGCGTTTTCCTCTACAAACTATCGAACCCAAAAATTCTAGGTCATTCATCTCAATTCTTTTAATATTTGATTGGGCGAGAGATAAAGCTGTTGAATTTGTAGTGATTTCGCATTTTTTTAAATTCAACTTGAGACCATATATTCACGACCATTACTGTTGATCAATTCCACATCATCCATTAGGTCCTTTACACATCCCCCCAACGCAATATCGTCCAAGTATGCGACAACAAATTTAGATCGAAATGCCTTTACCAGTGGGTCGATCGACAGCGAAAAGAGCAACGGTCCCAAAGGATCTCCTTGCTGCACACCTTCTGATGAAAAAATGATGCTGTTACCAAGTGACAGGAATGAATCAGCATCGTACGCCAACCAGCAAAAATTGAAAATTTCTGGGAGTCGAGATTTGACGCATTGAAGCATATGGTCACGACGAATCGAATTGAAAGCATTTGAAAAATCAAATTTAGAAAGCCTTCATCTTCCTTCATATTATTGACGAATCGCCTGACAGCGTGTATCGCTCCTTCTGCTCCACCGCTAATCCCGACACCGACCTGCTGAGGCTGGAGAATTGGACCCACCCTGTCCTTGACGACCAATAGCGCACATTTTGCAGCCCAGCGTCTCCATACACATCCAATGGCAATAGGTCTGACACCACCATCCTTCTTTGACAAGGCCACCAATCTCCCGCCAAACAAGTATGGAACTACCTCGGGTGGACAAACGCCACTCAACAGCAAATTGATAAAACCGGTCATGGCACTGATAAGTTCTGCTGTTTCTATTTTATCATGCGTTAAATCCCTTAAATGCTGTGGGGTTAGGCCATCTCTACCTCCTGAGGTTCCTTTTGGAAACTGCCTCAAGCACAACATAATTTGTTGGGGATTAACTGTAACGCTTGTCGATTCTTTGTTGGGACTTGGTTTTCTGTCCAACGGAGCGGGAGGATGTTTGTCCTTTAGGGAGTTGATAGTGTCTGTCGAATCCGGAGCCATCGTATCCGTCGATGCTAAAATCCTCATAGCATTTCTCACGTTTCCCTGTTCTATTTTGCATTTGACTAAAGCATTAAGCTTTGGTTTACGAACTCTCATCTTGCCCCTTTACAATTGGTTCGACAGATTTTATCAACTCTTCCAATGAGCCCTCTCCAAAAGCATTTAATCTGCTATTAATTTTTGCGCTGATGTTTTTTTTCCTCCACCTCGAAGATCCTTTCGGAGAATCAAGCGGGGAATGAATAGCAACCTGAACCAGAGAATGGAATTTGATGGGTTATCACAGATGTTTTTCAAAATATCCTTCAACATCCGGCCAAACTTACCACGTGATTGCTTGGGCACATGGTCAACTAACCGACAGCCCGATGATTTTTCAAAAAATTTTTCAGCCAGTGACGATTTACTCTTCATATCGACAGCGGTATCAAGGACCCTTGAGTCTTCACTCGTCTTTGAGATGTTGGCGTTGACGACATTGAGTGACCTTCGTTTTCTGCTCGAAGGTGGGTGCTTCAAAGATCCCGGACATTCTGAGCCTTTCACTTTTCCGCCATGTCTAACGAGAGTACCATCCTGCCTCACTTTAAAATGTTTATAACACACATGGCACAGAGTGAGGGAAGTCGTACTTGGTACATGTCCTTGACTCAACATTAAGAAACCAGCAACGCAAACTGTTATTATTATTGTAAACTGTACATAAGGCTTATAACATAAAATTATTGTAATTATTATTATTGTAAACTGTACATAAGGCTTATAACATAAAAAATTGTAGAAAGACAACTTTAAAACCAAGCACCTGTGTGCCGCTTAAATTATATAACTTAAATATAACTATATAACTTAAAATTAAAACCGGATATATAACTTAAGATTAAATACGAACATTTAATTAAAATTAATTAAAATTAAAATAAATGTGGATATATAATTTTAAATACGAATTTATTCGAATTTATAACATAAAATCTAAATCTGCCAACCTGTGCGGAGACCAATACACAAATCACACAAATGTATGTATGTATGTATGTATGTATGTGTGTGTGTGTGTGTGTGCATGCATGCATGCATGTAAGTATGTATGTATGTATTTTTTATATGTATGTATGTATGTATGATGATGTTTGTATGTATGTATGTATGTATGTGTGTGTGTGTTTGTAAATATCTTTTATTGTATATGTGTGTATGCGTTATATACCTGTGTGTGAACAATTGAACATGTATCAGTGCGTATAAGCCGAGTACACAAACTCAGATAATATGCTATCTAATCTTTAGTTGACAAATTTGTAGATATATGATTAAGAAGCGTCATTACCAAAGTTTAAATATAAACTCGATGTTTAATGACGTTAATATAGCTAACGACATTAAATACATTCATGACATTATGATCCTTAATGACATTAATATCGTTTATAACATTAATAATGGCATTAAGGTCAATAAAACAGAAAATCTAAAATACAATTTTCTTCTTTAATACAATTTAACTTATTCTTTAAAGCCAACAAACTTACTTAAAATATATTCTATCCAATTTTTATATAAAAAAATACTACACGAAATGAAATTTTCTCCATCGGGAAAAACCCAAGTTGAGGAAATAATCAATTAATCGACCTTACAACTTATATATAGTATATATATCTGTAGTAGTCGTCGAACCAATTATGTCAATCAACGTCGGTCGTCACCCGCTGCTGAACATTGCGGACGCGCCTGTGAGATTACACAAATGTTTTGTCTTCAATTTGAGCAGTGCATTGTGAATTATGGGGAAAACGCTGTGAATTATATATATTATATATATATATATATATACATATATAAACATTATATGGTGAATTGTATTTGTATACAATGTATACAGCGATATTTAAAGTGATAATATAATATTTGAAGTGATACTAAAATACCTGAACAAGTATTATGTTACTTAACATCAAAAGTAGTACTGTAATACTATTGACAGTACAATTATACATTTCTGTGGTTTGAATTTTTAACAAAACAAGCCAATTGTATATTTTGAATGAGGTTCGGTTGTATTTACATATAACAACGCTACTTGAAGGTTCAACATTCAATGTGATACAATGTAGTACTATGATATCTGATATATGATATGATCTCTGAAGTAGTACTATGAACATGTAATGGTGCATACAGTTATAGTTTTTTAGTGTAAATATTTAAAACAGTGACTCAACTAGGTTTTAATACTACTACTACTACTACTGCTGCTGCTGCTGTTGCTACTACTACTACTACTACCTGTAATAATAATAAAAATAATAATAAAATAATTTACGTTGTCAACAACATCTAGCGCATCTGAACTCAGATAAGCACACCGAACACCCATCTAGAATTTTTTAAATAACGACAACGACAATATCAATAATAACAATAATTATAATAACAACAACAACAACAATAATAACAATAACATGTCAAATGACCAACACAACAACGTGAACAATAACAAATAGAAATATTTTAAATACGCAGTTAAATTGTTGACGAAAACATCAAAACACAAAAAAAAAAACAACAACAAAATCAAAATGTTTTTTGATGACAACAGGCAACAATAACAGCAACAACGACAACAATATCAACATCATCGTTGTTCATTCATTTGTTCATGCATTCATTCATTTATTCATATAATAACTAAAGTATTAAATAATAATAATAACTAATAAAAAAAATTAATTATATTTTTCATATTTTCGCTAAATTTTAGAATGTGCTGAAGAAAAAATATTAGTGTCTTACTTGTTGCAAAATGAATAATAACTAACATTTAATCTTTCACAAGTGTGTGTGTGTGGTTGTATGGGTAAATATGTGTGTGTGTGTGTGTGTATGTGTGTGTGGTGTGTGTGTGTTTGCGTGTAAGTGTGCGTGCATTAATGTAATGAAATGTCAAGCGGTGCCGTGATGACATTAACAAATAAATAGGAAGGCACGACAATTAACTTATTTCATAACATTATATTTTCATTTCGAATATATTTAAATAATTAACTTTTTGAATTCGATAGTGTGTGCGCGCGCGCGCGTGTGTGTGTGTGGTGTGTGTGTGTGGTAAGTACAAATATTAATTAATGTACCATCATGAACCTACAATTGTACTTGAACGTGTATAGTACACAACCAGGTATGCATGTTCGCAACCATGAGACACACACAAACTCATTTCTATTATTATTTTAATTAATCAATTAAGTAATTAATCAAATAATTAATTAATGAACTAAAACAACAAAAAACTCTGCTAAAATAAAGATTCAACGACCCAAAATATATCTTTGTTTTCCAGTTTTGTTTGTCTGCGAGAAAAAAACCTTCACTTATTTGTTGTACTCTGTCGAGAGTTTATTGACGATTTTTTTATTTCTCAGTAACTTATAGCTTGTTTAAGCTGATTTTTAAACACGCACACAAAAACAAAACACACACACACGCACATAGAGACATACACACACACATACAAACACACACACAGACAAGTCGCCAAGCGGTTATATAATTGAAATTAAACTTCAGAAATTCGTCAAATAAATTAACACTGAATAGCTAGCTTGCAAATTTAAAAGTTTAAACATTTTTATAGAACATTTATATGATATCGATATATTGATATTTATTTAATTATTTTTAATAATATCAATCAAAAATAAGGATTAATTTATAGAAACATATAAATAATATAATTAATTTATAGAAACATATAAATAATATAAGGTTGTTACAGTTCAATTGAATTAGTATATTTAGGGTAGTAGGCTCAGTAACAAATAAATGATTGGGTGAATGAATGAATAAATGAACGAACGAACGAAAGAACGAACGAATAAAACATTGAATGAATAGATAAATGAATGAAAGGATTGATGGATGGATTAACAAATGAATGAATAAATGAAACAATCAGTAAGTAGTCGTAGACCCATACATGTCAAACTAAGTTTAATAAATCTTTAATTTGTATTGTGAAGCGTTTTTTCCGATGTGTTGATCTGGGCTATAAACAGAACATGTATGCTTGCGTATAATGTATGTATATGCGTGTGTGTGTGTGTATATATATGTATGTGTGTATGTATGTGTGTGTATAATTGTATATGTATGTATGTGTGTGCGTGTGTTATAAGAACAATAGATAAATGCAAGCAATGTCAAATGTTTCACGTTGAATGCTTTAAAGAATTATTGTCTTATTTTGACGTTGATTCATTCATTCATTCTTTATCTGTTCATTGGTTCTTTGAACTTTCACTGGTTTATTAATTTCATTCATTTCTTTATTTGTAGGTGATAAAATACTTTTGTTAGTATTTTGATTAGTATTTTTTTTTATAAAATTATATTTCTTTTATAAATATTTGGTTTTTTATTTATCAGCACATCAACAAACACCATAAAATCACATCAACACATTAACAAACATAACAATATTACATCAACAAACATCACATCAATCACATCTTTTTACAAGCCATTATCGCAAACGACGTACTATGAAATTCCGTGCAAACCTTCTTCAAGAGACAGACATTTTTATAGTCCGGCTTCAAATATGGCACTGCAATCAAATGAAGAAGCTCAATAAAACACAATCTAATAACCACTGCCACGCAAGCATTCACACAACACACACACACACATACACACGCACGTAAACATCCTTTACACGCACATACACATACACACAAATAATTTTACTTAAACATACTCATACGTTTATACAAGCAAAATTCGTCGAAACAGTTTTTATTAAGTAAATAAGTTTTTAAGAAAAATTTGACTTATATGAACAGTAAAGCAACAACAACAACAATACGATACTTATATGTGAATGAAATAGAAAAATAATTTCATATAACCTCTCTAAGCTTTAATTAAAATATGAGCATTTGATATTTGAAATTTTTATAAGATTCCTTTTAATCACATATCTTCATATTTTTCATCTATCACTCTCTTCTTCTCTGTCTCTCTCTTTCTTGTTCTCTTTCTTTAGCATTCTCTTTCATTCTATCTTCTTTTCAATTTCTCCTCTCTCTCTTTCACTCACTCTCTCTTTCTTTCTTTCTTTCTCTCTCTTTCTGCCTATCTCTTTTTCTCTCTCTCTTTCTCTTTCAAATTTTTACAAGTTCAGTTGCTTAGCAATGCAATTTTTTTAGACAACGAAATTAAACTGCGTCTCCGATAATAATAATAATAATTAATAATAATATGAAAATAATATTTAATAATGATAATAAGTCAATAGGTTGATGAATTATTTTATTATATACTGTATAATCAGATTCAATTTCTTCAGACAGCTTAAAATAATTCCGCAGACTTATTCATAACCATCTCTCTTTCTATCATCGTCATCATCATCTTTATTACCATCATCATCAATATCAATACCTTTATTATTGTCATCGTCATCGCCATCCTCGTCATCATCATCATCTTCATCATCATCATCTTCATCATCATCATCGTTGCCATCATGGTGATTGTCATGATGATGTTGTTGTTGTTGATGATGATTATGGTGAAGATATTGATGATGATGATGATAAGGAGTGTGACGAAGAAGAAGTAGTAGAAGAAAAAGAAAAAGAAGAAGAAAATAAAGAATATTTACCTCAAATATCAGACCAAATACAAAATTTTTATTTTTTAAACCACAATCTCATCAATAACAATAATAATGACCACCACAACAACAACAACAAACAATAGCAACAGCAGCAACAACAACAACAAACAACAACAACAAAAGAACATAAAATACACCGATAACGAACGTCTTAGTGATTGATCAATGAAATGTCATAAGATTTCTTGCCAAGATCGCGAGCACATACTCGCAGGACAAAAGAACAATTTTTACTTCGTTGTTTAAGAACGTTCAACCATTGAATGCATCGGATTGTTATTACTTCAGACCACATACAAATGTCACGTGTGTGTATCTATATAGATAGATATGCATGAAATATGAATTAATAAATGAATTCATAATTCATACGTGTGGCCAATTTTAAATGTTTGTGTAAAAGTTAACATTACATCTGATAGTTTGTGTGTTATTGATACACAACTCTAGCCAAGGCATGTTGTTTGTCGTTTTTTAGTTAGACGCAATTAAAATTCAGCGCCACATACACACACACACACACACACGCCGCATACATACACACGCCACAAACACACACCCACACCACACGACGTATATACACACAACCAACCTATAAATACAAACGTCACTTTCTGAGCTAACTCGGCAACCAAACTTGAAAATTATATCACAACGCTGTATAAAAATGAATGAAAATTAGTAAACCGTTATATTGTCGCTGTCATGTTTGTTGGCAAAAAATTAATATGACATAGGAAAAAACCATCGCGAAACTTTAAAATGGGTCTCGTCAACGAGTATGCAGCCGCACTCTTTCCCTTCCTTCCAGCATTCCTCGTTAGCGAGAGTTGAACCGCTTGTACGCTTCGCAGGTTACCTACCTGGCGTAGTTGAAGTGGCATCAAACAATGCTTGACTGGTTTCATCCGAGTTCAAAAGCAGGGCATCGACACCATTCCATCGACACCTAACATTTTGATCGGGATCATTATTCACACACATCCTTACAAACTAACTAACAAACACACACACGCACGCAAGCACGCACAAACATAAAAATATACATGCACATATACACCTTATAGTTAAACTGCAATAACTTTAAAGGCTTTATATTAAATATTGCTACTGACCTACTAAAAACAACGAACTTACCAAGTACCAAATTAACAATACACACCCACAGAACACACACACACACATACATACTAAAACAAACAAACACACACATACACATAAACACACGTTTGTTACAGCCTGTTTAACAGTACAATAAGTGAACTAATCAGATTTTGGTGAGGGAGAAAAACAAATACAGTGCTGTCACAATTTTATGTGGGCCGTTGTCTGTTAAAATGTTTAAGTCGTGTCGTGCTAAAATTGGTGTACTGTTCTGTACGTGATGTGCACGCATGAATTTGTACATGCACAGAAACCTGTACGTATTGTTTATTGTTGTACAAACACAGAAGCGTGCACAAACTTCAGTGTGTATGTGTATGTGCACTGTTGTCATGTACGTCAGAGCAGTCTTCTGATTGATTGCACTTTTCAAGTAACACACCTCACGCACACGCACGCACACACACACGCACACATGTGATATGGTTGACTTGACATTAACTAGAAAATCACATACATTCTGCAGTTTTATACTGGTAAAAATATTTCATTTAAAACAATTTTTCTCAACTTTAATACCTTCTGCCTATTTTTCATAAAGGTTTTTTCTTATTTCTTTTGTTGTATTTTCAATTTTTCTTCTTATTTTTTTCATACCCAAGTGTAACGGGTTTTAAGCCATCGCTGGATCAGCAAACCTGTAAATGTGATTTTTTTGAGACGGCCTTGATGCTGTTGCAATGTTTGGCCAGGTAGTAAAACCATCACCCATTAAACCCTTTTTTTTAAATAAATATATATCGATTGTAAAATCTTCAGAAATAGATGCACGTGAAATCCTGACGAGCAAAATTGCGCGCCAGACTTATTCATTCGAGAAAATAGGTTAGGTATGACGAAACCATTATTGAAAGAATGAAAATAACAATAATAATAATAATAAAAATAATAATTATTGTTATTATTATTAAAAATAAATAATAATAAATCAACGGTGCCACATATATTTTAGAAGTCTAATCAAATCTAAGGCATTTTCTCACTGAATGCACTCACACACGCACCAGACACACACAAACACACACACAAACAAACAAACGCACGCACACACGCACCAACTAAATGTGTTAGATTCGTGTGTCAATTAAAAGCAATAAATAACGTTTATTAATAATAAAAGGGTCAACAACCATAACAACAACAACGACTAAGACAACAACAATAATATTAATAATAACAACAACCATAAACCTGCATGAGTATATAAATATGTAATGACAACTTTAATAGCAAGCACAGAATACTACTACTACTATTACCACAACTACTACTATTACTACTACTACTACCACTACTACTACTACTAATAATAATATTGATACAATAACAATAATATATTTGTATATATAAATGATGACTCACATGTAACGAGATAGAAGAAATGACTGACGATGACGATGGCTGTCGGTTCGACTCCACGCTGAGACAATTTCGGAAGTTATTTTATGTCGTACACCAATCACCAATCTATTTATAGCGTGTGCTATAAATAGATCGGTGTATGACACAAATTTTACTTTATTTTTATGAGATTTTAAAAATTTTGTTTGTTATTTTTTTTATTCTTATTATTTTATTTAAGGTTTTTAATAAGTAGATCAAATAAAATAGAAGAAAAAAAAGAAATTATTGAAAATTTTGTGGTAATATAGTGGAAATAAAATGGAAATTAGCGAGAAAAGAGCCCTTAACTTGAGAATTTTGCCAAACGAGAATAAACTAATATAGCGGGAAATAGCAATTTATAAAATTTTAAAATCATCCCAACTTACGTAAAACCAAATTCTGAATCTGACACTTCTTCAATAAATATTAGATGAAATTTGGATAAAGATGAAACTATTAAACACAAACTTCGTATGATTTATTTGTGTTTGTTCAGACTGGCACGTTTTTATTGATGTTTAATAACCTCTTTTTTAATGTTTAATTAAGTTGAGGCTTGTGTATTTGCTGCCAGCGAATAAGTTTGATTGACTTGATCGAACGATACACACAAATGTTAGGTGTGTGTGTGTATGTGTTTGTGTTTATGTATGTGGACGAGAACTTCCAGCAACTATAAAGTGCTTCCATGTAGTTTGCAATCTGGCGTTGCGAATCAGCCAAGCCTCATACACATGACCACCAAGTGGTGGGGGTGGGCAATGCTAGCAGGAGAGGGTGAAAGGCCAATAACCAGTACCTTAAAACTGGTGTTCTGTTGGTTCCTGGGTGAGGATGTTCGTCAGTTTCGCAAGCAACCCACCAAGGATAAGGTCAAACTCTGACCTCAAACCTTAGTACCAACAGTTGTGCCATAGGAATGGTTACACTACTTTACAGTTTAGTGTGCTAAGTGAGTATGTGTTTGTGTGTGTGTGTGTTTGTGTGTGTGGATGTTCGTACTTACATGTACCCTACCCAATAATTGAAACATGTAAAGTATTATAACAACAAGGTATTTTTTGTATCTCTGTCCGTGTTTGTAACCATATACCTGCGTTTATACCTGCTAGTTTGTTTACAAGAGGTTTTATCCTATTAATCGTTTTATGTGTGTATGTTCGTATGTGTGCGTGTGTACGTGCGTGCATGTGTGTGTGTGTGTTTGCGTGTGTGTTGGTTTAAATTTAGAATTAAAAGATCAGAGGCATTAAATAACAAAATTAACTTTGAGTGGGAACACCCTTAAGTTATATATATATATTTATATATATAACACATTCATTTAATCATAGGTGTATATACACGCATGTATCCACACATACATTTTTACATGCACGCACAAACGCACGTACGCATACACACACACATTTTCACATAGACAGACATACATATGCACGCACATACACACTTACGTATGCAAACATACACCTCTACATACACACACACACACACACACACACACACACACACACACACACATACGTACACACGTATTCATACACAAACACATATGCGTCGTGCGATCACACATGCCTATATTATATCCGCACGCACGCACACATACACACACACACACACGCACACACACATACATACACACACATATACACATACACACACAAACACAAACCACACACACATACATGAAATGCAATGAAGCGTTGAAGGAAATTTAGTTATAATTCAAATAGTGAGTTTCTAAAAATTTCTGTCACCCTTATTTCGTGTATTCAGATGAGAGTTGCGAGATCCAGACGTACTATTCATTTTGATTTATTAAGCATATCAAAATGTAGATATTTAAAAAGCAAGAATCAAACCAAAGACAGCATACAAATTTCGCTACAGATAACAAAATTTCGAAAATAGTTTGAAATTGGTTGTTGCGTATTGGGACAAACGGCACCGATTTGTGAAGCATAATCACCTGGAATGGCGGCAGTGAAGATGAAGATACTCATTGCCGGATTGTTGTTGATGGGCCTAATGCCAACATCAGCCACATCAACCACCGATACACCAGTGCCTACGACCACGACTACGACGACAACCACGACTACGACGACAACTACGACGACAACCACGACTTCGACGACAACCACAACTGTGTTTAACACAACTGCAACAACTGCAACAACTGCAAGTACATTAACGGCTACTTCAGATGAAACGATGACTTCGGCAGGCGAGACAAATGGAACAACGACATCACTTCCAAACAGCGGTCGGTTAAACTTTTCATGAAAAATTTTTAAATTTTGAAATGTTAGCATTAGTGTATTGAAAATTTTTGTTCACTTAAGATTTACACAAATTCGCTGAAAGTAAGTTATAACCAAGCGGTCGAACGCATCACACCACAAACATACACATGGAAACACAAAAAACACACCTAATAATTGTGTGTTTCATTCAATCACACACACAAATACACACACACACTTCACATCTCATTAACACAAGTTGACCATTTAACTCTTCCCTAAATTCTTGTTCTGTCTGCTGAGCACTTTCGAATTATCTTTTTTGTAAATTTTTTGATTCTTGTAAATTAATGATTCTCTTCCTTTCTACCAGTTTCTTCATACATTTAACTTGACAATTTCATAAAAAATAAATATTTATTTATAAAGTTAATTAATTAATAAGATACACAAAAAAAGGTAATTTTGTTGATACTTCAGTGAAATTTACGTTCAAAATGGTTTAAATCAGAAGTGGACAAACTTTTTGCTGTGAGGGCCGCATTGAGAACTATTTTACCTTTGAAGGGCCGCAAATGTAATTAAATAGCAAAGTTTTTCGACCCAGGGGAGAATTTTTTTAAGATTTGTGACTCCTTTTTTGGTCATAATGTCTGGCTGACGACCTTTTTTGGGCGAACAAGGTCTCGCAGGCCGCATAAAATAGCTTCGCGGGCCGTAGTTTGCCCACCCCTGGTTTAAATACTTGTTTGCTTGTTTGATTGATTGGTTGATTGTTGATTAGTTAGTTCATTGCTTGCTTGCTTGTTTGTGTGGTTGTTTGATTGATTGTGTAATTGATTGATAAATTGTCCGTTTGTAACAAAATTATTTGCTGGTTAATTTATAAAAATTGTCAGAATTTCATTAACATCAGTAAAATAAATTTATACTACTCAACAATAATAATAATAATAAAAATAATAGTAATAAAAATAAAAATAATAATAAATAATAAAAATTAGTTTAAAATTGCATAATAATCATTCGGTAGATAACAGACGAGATGCAGCTGTCAACTGTGTACGTGTGTGTTGCCTTCATAAATAAAATTTTCGTCCATGAACAAATTTTTTATTCTTATGTGTTGTTGAGAGTTTAATTGGCGAGATAACGTCAGAAACGTCCATTGTAGTCACACACAATGACTAAGATGATGATGAAAATTGAAATAAAAACATACAACAGGCATATGTTCAAGCTTCTCAAAATTTGCAGATGATAAACAGGACAATAAAACTAAGTAGAACGAACTGTTAAACGAAAACTAAGAAAAGAGAATTGAGTTTGAAAAATTTTAAACTTTACAATCACACGATTTATAATAAATGATGATTTAGATAATCCAGCCAATGAGAAAAGTGTATTCGTGCGCGCGTCTGTATGCGCAATTGTACAATATGTAAGCTTTCCTCCATCTTGGAGTGTGTTGGTTTGAAATATTTCTTTTGGCACTCATTCAAATCCTTAAAAGTGCAAAATTTCTGGGATAGTCCGGATCTTGTGGGTTTTCATATCAAATTATGTTTTATCTTAAGGTCAGATAATTAGGAAATAAAAGGTGATTTCTTATGTTTAAATGATGGTAATTGGTAATGTAACAAACACAGATTGAAACGAATCGCGCACGTGTTGAAACTAATAAGTTGATTTGTTATTTTTATAAAATGTTTTTGCTATTAAATTTAATTAAATAATTAACAATACTTGGGCTTTAATGTGCCACATTGAATAAATAAATTAAATGGGAAATTAACTTTTGATTCAACTGACAGTGAACCACGTGTGCGACGCTCTGTCGAATGAAAAGTTATTTAACGACACGCCGAAGCACATATCAATCAAGGAATCATTTTCGAAACTCTATTAAAACATTTTAACAAAACTATCATTTAAACAATGATTTCACTAAATACCGATTAATAAACATATTGCTTTTGTATTTCCCACCAAAGATAAGTTAAATGTTCACCCATAAGATAATAAAGTAACCAAAAATAAAAAAAAATCAGTCAACAATTAAAAAAAATTTCGTTTCAATATTAAATCAAAACCAAGAAAACAAACCAGCAGCCAACGCATTTCTACGATGAAGATTCTGTAAAAATAAATTCATATGGTAAGAAAAAGTTAGAAATATATGTCATTCGATTTTGACCGAATGAACAAAAAAAACATAAAAGAACGCGTATGTTAAACAGAAGCAAAGTGAGTGGCGGCTTGCTTGTGTTAGGGACTTTATATATAAGGCCATATATAAAAACCTACATTGTATGATATTACTTTATTACATACATGAATATATTATATATGAAGATACAACCACAACAACTGCTTCAACAACAACCACGATGACAGAAACGACAACTGAGCCTACAACGACAACAACAACTGAATCAACTACAACAACTACTGAAGCTACAACCACAACAACTGCTTCAACAACAACCACTTTGACAACAACGACAACTGAGCCTACAACGACAACAACAACTGAATCAACTACAACAACTTCTGAAGCTACAACCACAACAACTGCTTCAACAACAACCACCTTGACAACAACGACAACTGAACCTACAACGACAACAACAACAATTGAATCAACTACAACAACTTCTGAAGCTACAACCACAACAACTGCTTCAACAACAACCACCTTGACAACAACGACAACTGAGCCTACAACGACAACAACAACAATAGAATCAACTACAACAACTGCTGAAGCTACAACCACAACAAATGCTTCAACAACAACCACCTTGACAACAACGACAACTGAGCCTACAACGACAACAACAACTGAATCAACTACAACAACTTCTGAAGCTACAACCACAACAACTGCTTCAACAACAACCACCTTGACAACAAGGACAACTGAGCCTACAACGACAACAACAACAATTGAATCAAGTACAACAACTACTGAAGCTACAACCACAACAACTGCTTCAACAACAACCACTTTGACAACAACGACAACTGAGCCTACAACGACAACAACAACAATTAAATCAACTACAACAACTACTGAAGCTACAACCACAACAACTGCTTCAACAACAACCACCTTGACAACAACGACAACTGAGCCTACAACGACAACAACAACTATAGAATCAACTACAACAACTACTGAAGCTACAACCACAACAACTGCTTCAACAACAACCACCTTGACAACAACGACAACTGAGCCTACAACGACAACAACAACAATAGAATC